TTGGTGTGGTTTGATGCTTAGAATGAAAAAAATTGCCACAATGGCTAAAACAACACTTCGAGCTTTCATCTTGTTAGCTGATTAAGCAAAGAATGAAATAAAAGTATGGTGAATAAATAAAATGCAAGGAGATGCTATATTTATACACATCAAGTCATCTAAATGTATGACTTGAGTTTTTCATGTTATAAGATTGATGGGAGGGTTTTGACTATTGACGGAGAGGTTTGACAAGAAAAAAAAAATTGAATGGGTCAAAAATGAAGAAAATAACTAGGTTTACATTCAATTCTAAAAGCCTTCAATTTGCATATTTCTTCACCTTCTAAATGAATACGTTTTCGTTGAAAATTATGCTAGCATTCTAGGCACGAGAAAACTCTTCCAGTCGATTGTCATGATACATGATGTGTTGGTAGTTATTAAAATTTGTGAGGTTCATATATCTATTTGTTTTTTAATTAATATTTAATGGTGTTGTCACATGAGTACGATCATGTATATATTAACACATTTACCTTAAATATTTTCTCGAACAATATGCGTCAATTCAGTAGGTGCGATTGATTAGATCAACATTTTAGATTTAAATAATATAATTATATCTTAAAATCCGTTATAGAATGAACCATTGAAGCACGTTTTTAATATGGTAAATATGACTATATAAAAAAAGAAGTAATGGGTTTTGCCAGTGGTCCGTGAGTGGCTAATTTTTCAATTCGATCATTTGAATATCTTGCAAGTTCTGGTAGCAGAGATTATGTTTTGCTGATGCTCCTTGGACTAGTCTTACATACTATCAAAGTCAACCTCCTTGAGGTACGTCCATAGGTCAGCACGAAAAAGTTTCTACAGTTAGCTTATGAGGTATGTCTATAGGTTTCCTGATTTGCAATTAGCGTAAGGAAAGGGTTGGGCGGAGTTATTTACCACAATGAGATAATTTTAAATTTTATTACCAATCTATAATATTTTAAAATTTAATTATCCAACTACGACATTTTTTAAAAGTAAGGTCATTCACTATGTTTTTGTTATAAAATAGCAAAGTCAACAACTCCACTTTTGTTAGAAAGCGGAGTCAAAAAGTCCGTTTTTAAATTAAAAAAAATGTTAGCTAAATATAAATTTGTTGTGGGTGACACAATGAAACAAAAAAAACACTACGATTATATGTGTATATAACAAAGGTACTCTGAATCCACTGGAAAAGTAATAATAGAATAACTCTTAAAAATGTATATTATTTAATAAATAATTCATATTACATAAAAGGATATATATAAGAACGGTCAAACCCTAATCATTCCCATAATAACGGTAAAATTCCTAATTATACGAAAATTACTAAAAACGAAAAATTGCAATCTAACTAATTAACAGAAAAACACATGTTGTTTAGAGTCCAACCCAACTGAAGACATTGAATTCAGTATTTTTTATAATTTATTATTAATACTTGAACTCTTTTCAAAAATGACAAAAATGAGGTTTGAAGGGCCTAAATGATAGGATTCAACCCAAAACTGAAGGAACTCATGACAAAACGATGAGTTTTAATCGTTCGTCCGTTTCAAATCAAATACCACTGATCTCAATCAATTCTGTGTTTAGGCCATTTTGTCTTTACTATCACCTTTTTGCCTTTTCTTGGGCCTTGGACGCGCAGCAATCTCTCTGCTCCAAGTAATCAACAATCACTTGTTCTACGTCAATGGGCAACAATGAAATGCTTTTAAGTAAAAGCAAATTACTGAATTATGCTTAGTTGAAAGGTGTGTTTAGTAAACATGGTTTTTATCTGTGATCACTGTAACCACTGATCATATTTTTTATTTAAAATAAAGATTATTAACTCTATTTTTAAACAAAAATAGGATTATTAACTCCATTTTTAAAAAAGTCGTAAATCGGTAATCAAGTTTAAAAAATGTCATATTGCGGTAAATAACTCTGGTTGTGCGCAATATTTAGATGAAATTTAACATCTCAATTCCCTGAGAATCTAACTAAATAAAAAAATAAATAAAAATTAGGCCTGCAGTAGTTGCCTAACCCCAACCAAAAGCTATAAGAAGAGACCAATCCTTTCCCCAAGGTTCTTTTTTCTTCATGCGTGTTAGGCGGGCAGTTCATCCCATGAATGAGCAACCCTTAACCTGGCTATATGACTGACCCTAATTGTCCACTAGTGAGCCATAATCGTGTTTTCAATTTGATAACTATATATTAAATAGACTCTTGTAGAATTATAAAATTATAAGTTGAAGTTTTAAAGTCTAACTCTGGCCAAAAAAGAATACTATTTGACTGAACTAAAATTCTAAAAATTTAATATATTTTTTTATGGTCAAGAGATATGAAAGATTTATGACGCTATGTATAGACTTCCTGAAAAAAAATAGACTTCTTAAATGGTATTGACGTAAATAATTCAAAATCAAGTGAAATTTTTTGTATTAGGCCAGGCTGATGTGCCTACCCAAAAAAGGCCTATGGCCCCATGGATTGTCGAGCATTTAGAGTCATTAACGTTTGGGAGATTTGGCGAGAAGAACAAAAAAAAGCATGTACTTTCAAGGCAAAATGTCTACCGTGAATATTTTTATGACGAGAAGTCCATAAAATACGTAATTGATAAAAATATCATTAATGAAGAGATTATTTAAAAATTTTTTCCACATTCCATTCTTATATTTATTATAACTGCCTTCATTATTCCGCCGTCACCACTGCCATTCGCCACCACCACCCACCAACTAAAGACACTCTCTCCCTCTCTCTTTCTCTGAATCGATTGTTTGATACATGAAATTTAAATGAGATTTGATTTTGTTTTATGAAATTTTTGAATGATCTTTATTTAGATTAGTTAATTTTGAATAATCTTATTGATACAGTTTTGTGAATTAAAGACAGTGAACTTAAGATAATGAACTTAAATAGTAAATTAAAAACAGTCACTCTCTCTTTCTATGAATATGTGTTTTGTTATATATTGTAGATGGAAGAAAAGAAGGATTTTTTTTAGTGTCATAAAGTTTACTTCTTTTAGANTTAGATTAGTTAATTTTGAATAATCTTATTGATACAGTTTTGTGAATTAAAGACAGTGAACTTAAGATAATGAACTTAAATAGTAAATTAAAAACAGTCACTCTCTCTTTCTATGAATATGTGTTTTGTTATATATTGTAGACGGAAGAAAAGAAGGATTTTTTTTAGTGTCATAAAGTTTACTTCTTTTAGATCATTGTCAGTGGTGATGGAGGATTTCTATTGAAGAAGAGCTGGATTTATCCATGAGAAAGACAATGACTCTCGTTCAATTTCGATTGGGTGAAGTGTGAGATATCGGGGTAATATTGTCATATAAAAAGAGAGAAAAATTAATTTGGACTACATGACAAAAAAGTTTAGTTGAGCTGAACCTCACGCATTAAAAAATACACGGAAGAAGTTATTGACAAATTAGACACAACNCCATGAGAAAGACAATGACTCTCGTTCAATTTCGATTGGGTGAAGTGTGAGATATCGGGGTAATATTGTCATATAAAAAGAGAGAAAAATTAATTTGGATTACATGACAAAAAAGTTTAGTTGAGCTGAACCTCACGCCTTAAAAAATACACGCAAGAAGTTATTGACAAATTAGACACAAAATTTATAATTATTAATTATTCTCACTTTACGTTTTGTCGGAGTCTTATTGCCAGCTGACCAATCTGTGACGGAAACATAATTGTATGATCATAAATAATACGAAAATTGTCCTCTATTAAAGTAATAATAATGACCAGCATCTAAATGGTGGTTGCACTTTGTGACACATGAAACTAATAAGGAATGAATACCAATATTCCATTGAGTTTTTTTTTTAGGGCAGTACGTAGATTCATTAGGACTGCAAAAAAAAAAATCAATCGTGAATTTATTTTTGAATTAGATCCCTGTTAAAAAATCAAAATAATAGTCATAGCTAACGCTCTTTAAAATTGTAAAAAATAACGACAATGTCATCATGTAATTAAAAGCCCTATTCTAAAAATCTACGTCATCATAATATACTTTTTTCTCCAAAATACAAATCGTCAGACAGTACACTAAAAAAATGAACTATTCCTAATTAACATACCCATTAATTGGATTTGTGAAGGTACATTAAGTTACATTTACTAATAGTGGATGCATTCAGTGTATCAAGAATTTAGAGTTTTCGCATCTTTTTTTTGCAACGGAATATTTACAGTGACAAAAATATTTTTTTACATCAGGAAATCGTTGCCCTGGCAAAAATTAAAATTTTTTTAAAATTCTTTTCTCTTTTTGTATTGATTTTTTTCCTGTTGCAAATGTCTAAACCAAAACAATGTTGTAGTTTTAATACAACTTATTATTAAAAAAGGGTAAATTACATTAACACTACTTGAACTTTGTAAATAAAACATATTACATTAACATCTCTCGAAGTTTTTATGCATATAACATATAGATTCCTACCATTTAAAACTGTTTGAATCACTGTTAAACTTTGATTATGTTATCATATTTTAAAATTTTAATTCTCAAAATACCCTTATAGAAATAATTAAAACCAACTNAACTTTGATTATGTTATCATATTTTAAAATTTTAATTCTCAAAATACCCTTATAGAAATAATTAAAACCAACTCACTTAATTCAATCAATTTTGTCAGCAGTCGGTCGTTACTAAGAGGGTGTCAATGTAATATTTCATACCTGAGGGAATCTGTGTGTTTTAGTGACAAATTTTAGTGGTGTAGATGTAATTTATCATATTACTTCCTACTTCGTCTAATTATCAGTCGCATAACGAACGCGTAACGCCTCTCTTCACACGTCTCCTCCTCCTTCTCCAACTACATACGACTCTCCACTCTCTCTCGCTCCCTCTGGTTCTAGCTCCCTCTGTCTCTCTAAAATCGAGCAAGAACAAGAACAAGAACTCGAAGTCAAAGCAGCCACTCCAAATCAAAGTAAATCCGATGAACCGCCCAACAATGGTCGAGCAGAATAAGTATTAGAAGGTCCACAAGGTCTCTCCCTCGCCAAAGAAAGACCAGGACAAGAACAAGAAGAAAGAGAACGATCCTGAGGTATCTCTCTTTCATCCTCTACTACTCTTCTGCCCCCTTTCGCTTTTGCACCAGCTGCCACATCCAACAACCATTCATAGCCCCTATCTCCTCTCTCACAAAGCACACACACACAAATTGATTACCTCTCTTAATTTTTGGTGTTGAGTTTATTTAATTGGAATTAGGTNCTTAAAATAAGTATTACTAAAATTTTGTTGACAAAGAAAGCTAATGACAAAGGACTACAAGTAAACGAACTTTACATTAAAAAAATCAAGTTTGTTTTCTCAATGGACATGTCATGGATTATTTTTTGCAGTAGAACTACTTAGCACCTTGTGAGGGATGATATCTATAGATTGGAAATTTTATAAATTGACGTTCAACACCATCTCACGACATCAACATCTCAATTTTTTCCCTTATTAGTGATTGATATTTTCAGCTGAATTGAATAATTGACATTTGAGGATTTCCAGGACCACATGAAATGGTTATGTTTGCATCCTTGTTGATCAACGTGTTATATTTTATCGATGCTTATAAACTTTATTGATTGAATCTCAAAATTACAAGAAGCAAAAAACATAAATTGTTATAACAAAACACAATGATTGCTTTAACAAAAAACACAAAACAGTAAATTGTTTTAACAAAAAGTAGAAAACANTAAATTGTTATAACAAAACACAATGATTGCTTTAACAAAAAACACAAAACAGTAAATTGTTTTAACAAAAAGTAGAAAACAGTAAACTATTTTAACAAAACCAGAAAACTGCTATATTTCCTTCTGTACAACTTGAAATTCATCACCTCAACTTCTGGCTCTTGGATCACACATTAACATCCTTTTTATCCTTGCAATAGGCATACTGGACTGGTCCTGGAGTAACAGTAATCTTCCAGTCAAAGGCATAATGCCACTGACAAAAAAAAAAGTGAAAACTCATGTTTGAACTGCAAATGAGGCCAAAAAATCAGCAACTATGTCANCAGTAATCTTCCAGTCAAAGGCATAATGCCACTGATAGAAAAAATAGTGAAAACTCCAGTTTGAACTGCAAATGAGGCCAAAAAATCAGGAACTATGTTAGCCTCTCTGTACACATTCTTTAAATGAAATTACAGCAAAACCACTAGACCAGAACCTCTGCCCACACACAGACCAGTAAATCAATCCACAAACTAAGTCATCCTCCATGGCAATCATGAACCACACCTCAGTACCCCAATAGAGTATCAACATGAAACCATCCCCGCAAAAAGAAATATAACACCTACTGCCAAGCAACAGGTCCTGCAACACCAAGTCAATCTGCCCAGGCCAGATCATAAAGGAGATAATGCACCTCTAATCAGAGCATGACTCATAGAATGAGCTTTAAAACACCTCATCAATCTTACAAGCCTACAAATAGGAGATTCACCTGGCAGAATCACAAATCCCATAATAGCAGATACCCTTTTCCACACAGCTTGAGCAAAAGAACACTCAACAAATNTAGCTAACGCTCTTTAAAATTGTAAAAAATAACGACAATGTCATCATGTAATTAAAAACCCTATTCTAAAAATCTACGTCATCATAATATACCTTCTTCTCCAAAATATAAATCGTCAGACAGTACACTAAAAAAATGACCTATTCCTAATTAACATACCCATTAATTGGATGCGTGAAGGTACATTAAGTTACATTTACTAATAGTGGATGCATTAAGTGTATCAAGAATTTAGAGTTTTCGCATCTTTTTTTTGCAACGGAATATTTACAGTGACAAAAATATTTTTTTGCAACAGGAAATCGTTGCCCTGGCAAAAATTAAAAATTTTTTCTCTTTTTGTATTGATTTTTTTCCTGTTGCAAATGTCTAAACCAAAACAATGTTGTAGTTTTAATACAAGTTATTATTAAAAAGGGTAAATTACATTAACAGTACCTGAACTTTGTAAATAAAACATATTACATTAACATCTCTCAAAGTTTTTATGCATATAACATATAGATTCCTACCATTTAAAACTGTTTGAATCACTGTTAAACTTTGATTATGTTATTATATTTTAAAATTTTAATTCTCAAAATACCCTTATAGAAATAATTAAAACCAACTCACTTAATTCAATCAATTTTGTCAGCAGTCGGCCGTTACTAAGAGGGTGTCAATGTAATATTTCATACCTGAGGGAATCTGTGTGTTTTAGTGACAAATTTTAGTGGTGTAGATGTAATTTATCATATTACTTCCTACTTCGTCTAATTATCAGTCGCATAACGAACGCGTAACGCCTCTCTTCACACGTCTCCTCCTCCTTCTCCAACTACATACGACTCTCCACTCTCTCTCGCTCCCTCTGGTTCTAGCTCCCTCTGTCTCTCTAAAATCGAGCAAGAACAAGAACAAGAACTCGAAGTCAAAGCAGCCACTCCAAATCAAAGTAAATCCGATGAGCCGCCCAACAATGGTCGAGCAGAATAAGTATTAGAAGGTCCACAAGGTCTCTCCCTCGCCAAAGAAAGACCAGGACAAGAACAAGAAGAAAGAGAACGATCCTGAGGTATCTCTCTTTCATCCTCTACTACTCTTCTGCCCCCTTTCTCTTTTGCACCAGCTGCCACATCCAACAACCATTCATAGCCCCTATCTCCTCTCTCACAAAGCACACACACACAAATTGATTACCTCTCTTAATTTTTGGTGTTGAGTTTATTTAATTGGAATTAGGTGTTGATTTAATTGGATTTAGTTTCATGATAATTTGTTAAATTTTGGTGTTAAATTTGTTAGCCTCCCTCACCCAGGTAACTCTTTGTCTCTCTCTCTCCACTCTCGGCGAATCCCTTCTTCTCCCAATCTCTATTTTTTTTTAAAAGGAAAATGGTGGTCGTAGGCAGGTAAAATGGGAAATACATAGTCCAAAATGCAGAATGTTTTTCCCATATTTTCGTTATGGGTCTTGACTTTAATGATACAAGATATGATTTTCGTTCTGGGTCTTGTTTTTTTTTCCCAATATGTTTTTCCTTCTTTGTATGATTCTTTATAATATAAAGAAATTCTTAGCACTACTTTGCTTTATTTCTTGTTGCTGTTGATAGAGAGAGAAAGAGAGAACTGAAACAATGACTTGCTTGTGTTTAATCCTATTGATTCATAAGTGATGGGTCTGTTTCATGCATAGATTTTGTGATGGGATAGCCAGTCAGCATGTTTGTAGGTCCTATATGATGGTGGGTACTTAATTTGCTGGTTAATACCTAATCTGAAGCCTTGAGATAACTGGGGTCGCAGCCCCTGATCTAGAAGCTAGCTGTTTTCTTAAGTGCCTCACTTGAAAGATACATACATAACAAGTGTTTAAGATGATGCAATAGGATCATTGGAGGGGAATTTGTTTGATGACACTTGACCTCATGATTGCAGTTTATCCGTTATGAAGTGGATAGTTGAAACCAGTACCCCACAGAATTACTTAAAATTCTGAATTTACAGAAACTTAGGGTCAAGGCATAGTTGATTCTTTGTGACAACATTCTCAAGTCTCAACTAGTCTTAGTCTCTTATATGATTTTTAACTTAAAATAAGTATTACTAAACTTTTGTTGACAAAGAAAGCTAATGACAAAGGACTGCAAGTAAACGAAGTTTACGCTAAAAAGATCAAGTTTGTTTTCTCAATGGACATGTCATGAATTATTTTTTGCGGTAGAACTACTTAGCACCTTGTGAGGGATGATATCTACAGATTGGGTATTTTATAAAGACTTGATGTTCAGCACCATCTCACGACATCAACATCTCAATTTGTTCCCTTATTGGTGATTGATATTTTTAGCTGAATTGAATAATTGACATTTGAGGATTTCCAGGACCTCATGAAATGTTTATGTTTGCATCCTTGTTGATCAATGTGTTATATTTTATCGATGCTTATAAACTTAATTGATTGAATCTCAAAATTACAATAAGCAAAAAACATAAACTGTTTTAACAAAAAACACAAAACAGTAAACTGTTTTAACAAAAAACAGAAAACAGGAAACTGTTTAAACAAAACCAGAAAACTGCCATATTTCCTTCTGTATAGCCTGCAACTCATCACCTCAACTTCTGGCTCTTGGATCACACATTAACATCCTTTTCATCCTTGCAATAGGCATACTGGACTGTTCCTGGAGTAACAGTAATCTTCCAGTCAAAGGCATAATGCCACTGATAGAAAAAATAGTGAAAACTCCAGTTTGAACTGCAAATGAGGCCAAAAAATCAGGAACTATGTTAGCCTCTCTGTACACATTCTTTAAATGAAATTACAGCAAAACCACTAGACCAGAACCTCTGCCCACACACAGACCAGTAAATCAATCCACAAACTAAGTCATCCTCCATGGCAATCATGAACCACACCTCAGTACCCCAATAGAGTATCAACATGAAACCATCCCCGCAAAAAGAAATATAACACCTACTGCCAAGCAACAGGTCCTGCAACACCAAGTCAATCTGCCCAGGCCAGATCATAAAGGAGATAATGCACCTCTAATCAGAGCATGACTCATAGAATGAGCTTTAAAACACCTCATCAATCTCACAAGCCTACAAATAGGAGATTCACCTGGCAGAATCACAAATCCCATAATAGCAGATACCCTTTTCCACACAGCTTGAGCAAAAGAACACTCAACAAATAAATGAGCTACATTCTCCTCATTCTCACAGCAAAGACTACACCTGCTGGCCAAAGACACACCCACATTCTGCACTCTAACATCCATAGTCAAAGCATTTCTAAAGATCTTCCAAGTACTCAACTTTGCACTAGGAAAGATTTCCTGATCCCATATACCTTTTGCTACTTCACTCTGCACACCTTTCCTCCTCACCAATTCCCAGGCAGATTTAACAGAAAACAACCCTGAGCTGGTATGCCTCCATACTCTCTTATCAGCCTTTTCTGATAAAACCACACCAGAGTTCAGAATCTCATACTGCAATTGAGGTGTAAGCCAATCAGAAACCTCATCCAAAATCCACCCATTCCCACTCCATCAATTTCAATTAAATTGGGTTTGTAATTTATTGATAAATTCATCCATTTTTTAGTCACATGTGCATCTTACTATCTTTAATTCTACTGCATTCATTAAATTTAGTTTATGTGATAACTAAGTTACCTTCATGTGGATGTATGAAACAGCTAACGATAATAGAAATATGGATAAGAGTTGGATTGATTCAACAGAAAGGCTTTCAAGTGCATACTTTAGAGGGGTTGAGAAATTTCTCAAGTTTGCATACACCGATCAAGCGGAAGATGCAATGATTTATTGTCCGTGCAGGTTATGTTTAAATCATTATTTTGTTAAACGAGAGGTTGTGCGAGAACATCTTATTATAAATGGCTTTTCAAGGAAGTACAAGAATTTGACTAAACATGGGAAAGCTTATGTTTCGAGACATGGTAACCAAGAAAATGAAACCTTAGATGATTCAAATATTGGGGATGATATAATTGGAATAATACACGAAGCTATTGGAGTTCAAAATGTAGATATCAGTGTTGAAAATCTTGAACTACCTACAAATGATCTNACTGAAACAATGACTTGCTTGTGTTTAATCCTATTGATTCATAAGTGATGGGTCTGTTTCATGCATAGATTTTGTGATGGGATAGCCAGTCAGCATGTTTGTAGGTCCTATATGATGGTGGGTACTTAATTTGCTGGTTAATACCTAATCTGAAGCCTTGAGATAACTGGGGTCGCAGCCCCTGATCTAGAAGCTAGCTGTTTTCTTAAGTGCCTCACTTGAAAGATACATACATAACAAGTGTTTAAGATGATGCAATAGGATCATTGGAGGGGAATTTGTTTGATGACACTTGACCTCATGATTGCAGTTTATCCGTTATGAAGTGGATAGTTGAAACCAGTACCCCACAGAATTANATATTTGAAACCAGTACCCAACAGAATTACTTAAAAAAGGCCCCTCAAAATTCTGAATTTACAGAAACTTAGGGTCAAGGTATAGTTGATTCTTTGTGACAACATTCTCAAGTCTCAACTAGTCTTAGTCTCTTATATGATTTTTAACTTAAAATAAGTATTACTAAACTTTTGTTGACAAAGAAAGCTAATGACAAAGGACTGTAAGTAAACGAACTTTACGCTAAAAAGATCAAGTTTGTTTTCTCAATGGACATGTCATGAATTATTTTTTGCGATAGAACTACTTAGCACCTTGTGAGGGATGATATCTACAGATTGGGTATTTTATAAAGACTTGATGTTCAGCACCATCTCACGACATCAACATCTCAATTTGTTCCCTTATTGGTGATTGATATTTTTAGCTGAATTGAATAATTGACATTTGAGGATTTCCAGGACCTCATGAAATGTTTATGTTTGCATCCTTGTTGATCAATGTGTTATATTTTAT